GAGCAACTGCTGAAGTATTTTTGCCAGAGTGGCTTCACCACTTTACAATACTACCACTTTACAGTGTAGGGCAGGTCTGATTTTTCTGCATCCTTGCCAACACTTGTAATTGTGCATCTTTTATTTGTGAGATACAGTCTCTCACTGTCACCCCACTGGAGTGAGGTAGCATGATCACAGCTCAGGGCAACCTCCAACTTCCCAGTTTTCATTCTTCAGCAATCCTCCTGCCTCTGCCTCTGAGGTGGTATCCCATTATAGTTTTAATTTGCATTTTCCTAGTGACTAATGATATTGAATGTCTTTTTTATATGCTTATTGGCCTTTCGTATATCTTTTTTGAAGTGATGTGTAGTGAATTCCTTTGCTCATTTTTAGATTGCAATGTTTTTGTTGACTCCAAGAGTCATTATATGTGTTGTTGATTAAGCTCTTTATCAAATATATGCTTTGCAAATAACTTCTGCCATTTTGAGGATTGGCTTTTCACTTTCATGATGGTGTCCTTGGAAGCACAAAATTTTTCAATTTTCTTGGTCTTCATATCCAAGAAGCCATTGCCTAATTAGGTTATTGTCTTAATATGTTTTCTGTTGCTTAGAACAGATTACCTGAAACTGAGTAATATAAAAAGGAAAGGAATTTGATTCTCACAGAAAGTGATACCTTACAGTGGAAACCATAACTCCATTGTAAGTTGTCTGGAGCTCTTTGACCACAAGGTTATGTCCTAATCGACCCACTGTAAAATCCAAAAATTTTAAGTTGCACCTTCCTAAATTGGGACTATCTGTATATTGTGAGAGGTAGAGGTCCAATTTTATTCTTTGTGTGTGACTATTCAATTGTTTTAGGATCATTTGTTGACAATATTTTTTCCCCATGAATTAACATGGCACCTTGTCACTACTTAATTTTTTTGGTGCATTAATACTGACAGTGGTGCAAAAGCAATGGTGGGTGAAACTGCTGGCCCCTTAGTATGAGTGCATCATTGTATTCTTTACTACCAAACACAGCAAAAGTACAGTTTAGGGTCCTTGATTGAATAGTAAAAATGAATGTTGTTAAAGGTCGACTCCTGAGGATATGCCTTTTAATATTCCTTATGATGACATGGGAAGTACGCATAAAAGCACTTTTGTTGATACTGAACTATAAGGATTGACTTGAGGAAAAGCTTTTGGTATTATTATCTGAGTTACAAACTGAAGCAGCTGGTTTTTTCAGCAATACTATTTTTTACTTCAAAGAACTAATAACAAACTGTGGTTGTTCAGATTTGGGCATTTTGTAGAGTGAAGCAAGTTTGTTGTCGTAAAGAAAACCACTATTAATGATAACATTCAAATTTAAAAACAAAAACTAGAAAGTTCGGGAAACTTGCAACTGCTACTTTGAGCTTGATGGCGTCCCAGTATTTGATGGTTTCTGATGAGCTAGCAGGTGATGTTAGTTAGTTTGATTTGGAGATGTTAGATAATTTCCGATGTCAACACATAGAAGATAGAACTCAGTGAACCAGTATTTTCAAATTAATGCCTGTATCTTATCATGCAAATTTGGAAATTCCATTCAAAGTTCAGGATAGACAAATGAACTTCAAGGTAACAGTAAAAACTCACATGATTTTATATTCTGTGTTGTAACTAACTTCTCAGAAACTACCACTCATTGAGTTTTTGTGTATATCAAAGAATATCCTGTTATATGGGAAACTATTAAAATTCTCTTCCTATTTCCAACTGCGTGTTTTTGTATGGCTGTATTTTCTTCACATACTTGATCCAAAACGCAACCTATTGTAACACACGGAATATACAAGCAGATGTGAGATTCCTAGTTATTTTCCCTTAAGTGTACATGAAAGAGATTTGTAAAAATCATAAAACTATCTCACTCTTTTTACTGTGGTTTTTGGTTTTGAAAAATGTATTTCATGAAGGCATGTTAACACTTAGTGGGTTATTTTAAAATGAGTCAAGAATTTTTAAAATTTCCAGTTTTATTTCTAATATGGTAAATGTTGATAGATATTAGTTACAAAAATGAAAGCTCTTTGGCATCCTCATTTTTAGGAGTGTAAATGTGTCCCAAGACTAAGGGTTTGAGAACCATTTATTTAATAGAAGCTTGTTTTTGATAATTTTTGGGAGGGATATTAGACTACTAAGTTAAGGGGAAGGTATTTTTAATTAAAGTGGTCAGATAATGCTTCACCTCAAAAGGAACATT